GAATGAGCCACATCTGGCTCGCGAGCCATAGGTTCCCGACCCCTGCACTACACCAAACTGGCTTTCTCTAATAGGGGAAGCCTTATTCAAATAAATGTAGTTTATTTCAGAATATTACTTTGATTATCATTCCATTAACAGGTTGGTTCCCTTTAGAGAACATTGTTACAAAACTCACAGTCTCCTGGTTTCTAGCTGGTGCATAAACCACTACACCAAACTGGCTCTAAACAATATTTACAGCATGTAAATTAAGCTGATTACATATCTACCTTCATGTACATACTTAAGTTTGAGTATGAGCCACAATTCCAAAATATAAAGCTCCTGTACAGATCATATAATATGGTACTGGATAGAAAACAAAGTATAATGTGGTATACATTCAGGCAAGATGTGAAGAGTTGGGAAGAAGGCAGCCCAGGATATTAATGTGCACACTGAAAAGTTCACAACAGACTAAGCTGTACTTCATGAACCAATACTATATACACAAACATTGTAACCCTATACAGAATTTCAAATCCTTGAACATTCAAATTATCAAATTTTAATCTCCCCTGATTTCCGACAACTCATGCAAATGAGCTATGCTATGCTTTTCTATGACAGAAGAACTTGCACATTCAGTTGTCTTGTGGAAGTGAACTCAGGAACAGAGTCCTGTGGATTTAAATAAGATCCATGTAACTGTACATTCAGAACATGTAACTGAATGGGCAAAAAATTCAACATTGTTAAGACTGTTTTATTTATAGTTATTCAGATTTGTTATCTTCAAACAGTCATTAAGGTTATAGCATGAAAAAGAGTTAAGAAAGGGTAAGCAAGAGATTTCTAAAAAAATGCTATTGACCAAACAGCCAATATTTATAGCTACGTTTTCAGGCAAAACGCATGGCATTGGCTTTAAAAGGTGAACATAACTCTTTAAAACCAATTCCTGTTTGACTTGGAACAGAAAAGGAGCTTAATGGTATATTGGTGGTCATTTCTCTGCACCTCCAAAGCTTTGCAAGACTGCACACACAGCTGTCAGCCAGCTGAAAACATCTGTTTGAGACAATGTGTAAATAAACATACTAGAATTATTTCCAAAATTCTATATTCAGCACATCAATAGTGCTTCAGTCTAAAATGGTATCATAATTTTGAAGAACTAGAGTTTTATTCTTGAACTCTCATCATAAACTTCCCCCACAAAAAAGAAAAAACTATATCACGTATATCAGTCTCCAAGGCTGGAAACTGGCTTGGTTAAAACCATATGGGAAAGGGAAAAGGTCATCAATTAAAAACAGAAATCTAATAAATCCAAAATATTTCCAAATGAAATACTTGTGGTAAGTTAATTCCTTGTAAACACTGCAGTCCATTCTCTTGAACAGTCCCAGATGGTGTGCTTGCCTTTGTGGGCTTAAAAAATGGGGGAGGGGAGAGATTTAAAAACAGTTCTGAATAAGCATAATTCTGTCATCTAGCCTACAAAGAATATGATATCCTCAATCAATCAATGTGTTTGTTGTCCAAAATTACAGACCATAAAAGTTTTACTAAAATGGCAATTTCATCAAATCTCACCTTGCTGTTTGCCAAATGGAAAACATAAATGTGGAAGTCCGTAAGTGAATCCTAAAGATTTAATGTACATACACATATGTACTTTCCATTAAATAGAAGATTCCTAAGCCCACATGGCTGGAATACAGAAGAAAGCACTGTAAATAAAATTCTTCCAAGACAATCCCTTATCTGGTAATAAAGTAAAATATACTGAAGTAGAAATTTCAGAAATAATTTGCACTGCTATACTATTGTTTAATTCAACACCATTCTCCTAATGTAAGTATTCATGAACTTCCCTAGAACATCTCCTAAATAAGTTCTTTGAACTAATTATGAAACCCAAATTACGAAAAAGGCAACAATTAAATGGAATCCAATTCTAAAGTAAGCACACTGCTGTTAATATCTTCCAAAAACCCTTCTTCCTATCTGTCTTTCATCAAGACATTATTATTATTTAGAACACACCACACAGGGAACTAGAAAACTGTGACAGAATAAATGATTCCAATAATTTGTCCAGTAAACACTGAAATTCTCTGGATGAACAAACCATAACATCTTAGATAGCCCTACCTGTTCCACTGTTATCAAAGCATCTGAACAACTAGGAAGTATCTGTAAAGGCAGCAGTTGGCACAACTTCCCTAAAAGTAATGAAATCTCCTTCATGCTTCGCCAGCAACATACCAACACCATTTGAGCTGTGACATCACTTGTATGTTGTTCTTTACCTTAAAGAAATAAACACAAAGTGAAACTTCTTACAACAGCTGTAACAATCTTTTAAAAATCCTTTCACAAAGTCTATTTAGCAATGTAGTCTTTGAGCAATAATAGTAAATCAGCGTTACCCAGGAAATAAGTCAGATTAAATACATAGTCAACACAGCTAAATTGTTTAATTCAACCAAATAATAAAATGTACGTTTGGATGCACCGGGCTCAGTCCTGGCATTTTAAATTAATAAAGTTGCCAAAACCAGCCAAGTATGCATTAGAATTAGATTGGGCAGGTTTGAATATTCAAGAGATAGCAAAGTAACTAGCCTGGAAAACAATTAAGAGATCAGAGCTGGGGCTGCAGCTCAGAAGCAACGCATATACTTACCTTGCAAAGGTTCCACAACCTTTGGGGAAATGCCACAATCTAAAACCTTGCAAAATTGTTGGTCCTTACGACAATTAATCTAGTGATCTTCAGATGTTTTGGGCTTCATCTCTCAAAAGTCTAAACTGTAAAAGTCTAAGGCACCAAATTATGGAAGACTGATACAGATATTACTGTTAGGTGAACTAAAGATCTGACTTGGTATAAGATAGCTTCTATGTTTCAAAATCCAGCCCATATTGTCAAGAAACAGGATTTATAACCATCTCAAGTGAACAGAAATTAATTATCAAGCAATGTCCTCTGAAGACACAGTGTCAAATTATGAAATATGGTTCAGTTTTTTGGTGGTGAATGATCTCACACTGCAGAAGCTCATTATGTATTAGTTGTTATGCTGCTCAACCTGATGATTGACCTATGCTCCCTCAAGACAGACTCTTCTGAACATATAATCAGCATTTCCCAGATGTAAAGGAATTATGATCTATTTGGCACTACATGGATGCTGAATATAGAGTTTTCTGTTCCCTTCAATATCCTTTTCCATATGCAGGGAAAAGTCCAAAATAGCAATGAAATCATAAAGGCTTGTTGTCACTTTTGAATTGGCCATATGGATCAGCAGCACAAGCTAAATAAATGCTTCCCACCCGCTATTTATCTCTATAAATCAAACATCTGCAAACCTGGACTACCCTAATCAAACCCACTCTCTCCTCTTTCTTTACCAAAAGCCTATCACTTCTGTAGTGCATCAGCACATTGTGTCAAAAATCTGCAATGTAGAGAGACAGACGTAACATATGGAGTCTCATGTTGAGTTAGGCGAAATATATTGGCCCACTGTATACAAATGGCAAGATAGGCTGGCTGTGTAGGACAGCCCTGTTAGTTTATGGTAGCAAAAATTCAGAAGTCTGGTAGCACCTTCTCTAACAAGTTTTATTAAAAAGCATAAGCTTTCATCAGATGCAAAATGTACAGCTCAAGAAAGCTTAGGCCTTTTAATCAAATTTATCCCAAAAAAAAGGTGCTACCAGACTCCTGATTTTCAAGTACTGAAAGATCATTATTTTTATTAATATTACCTGTTAAAATCTACATGTATAAACATGAATCCCTATGATTAAACAGGGAAGATGGCTTAATTTTCAAATCTGAACCTTTGTAAAACAAGTTCCCTCTTTTTACTGTTTTACGTTTTGAAATGCAGATTCTAATAAATCTGTGAAATTCAACTACTCCATCTAATGTTCTTAATGTGAACAACAATATAAGGAACGTTTCAGAAACAGATCTACATTTTAAATAGCCTGCCTGGCCCATTAGTCAATGAAATAAATAAAATGTAGCAAATTTTAAATCTTCAAACAGGACTTCTGTTAGTTTTCTCTCACAATGTCATACTACCCCACTGATAATCAGTGGAATGTATTACAGAATTTGGATTAAAATATATTAATAGGATAAAGTATATCAAGTTAAATAAACCTCAAACTTAACCTACCTAATATTTAAAATAAAACATGAAACACAGTAAGTATCAATTACAAATAAGTATGGTTTACTAATTAGCTATAAATAATTATATAACATTATCATTTAGCATAATATTTAGCAAACTTAAACAAAAAAATCCAAACCACAGAAGAACTGAGCTGATTCTACCGAGGGTAAATAAGCAACAAAATAGGTATTAATTTCACCCAATCCCCAACATTTTTTTAAAAAAGTGAAAAACAGCTCAAACACCAGTCCCATTACAGCACCATGGTCCATGCCTCTTGGCAGCCCCTAGGTAAGCAAAAAAGAGTAAATATGGCCCCCTCACAGACAGACTCACTTCTGATTTAACTGCAGTTCAAATATTCATTTATTTCTTTAAAAACATTAATTTTATTGAAGTTTTTAGTAAACGTAGTAAAAACGAATACAAACTAAACTAGAAGGAAAAAGAAAAGTAAAAGAACAGTTCAGAAGGTACAGGGAAAAGAAAAAAAAGAAAAAATAGAAGAGAAAACAAAAAGAAAAAAGAAACTAAGACAATAATAAAGAATAAGGTTCTAACCTTCATCACACCAAGAATAAGCTAATATAGTAACTTTTCACACTCTTTTAAAATTACAAATACAAAAACTCTTCTTCCCATAGCCTAACTTTTATTTATGCACAATGCACAAATCGTCATCTTTTCCGTCCTGGTTCAGCAAAAAGTCCATTAGGAGTTACCAGAAGTATCAAACAAATAGTTTATCCCAGATCAAATAGTCCAACTTTATATTCCTTCTTTTTGCTCTTCACAATCTTGACCTTTAAATCATTCCAATGGCATCACGGGATTTGATCTTTCATTAATCTTTGGCATTCAAAAGGAGTCTTCAAAGCTTTCACCACCCTACTTTGTAAATCCCATAAAGGGGCATCATCCAGGATTTCTTGTTGCAGCTGTTCACATCCAGATCTTTTTCTTGATTTGTCTTTTGTATTCCTGTTTTGGTAATCTCAATTTGTTGTCTTCAATGCCTTCAAATTCTATAATGTCTGTGTCAGTAAGAGTTGTTTTTTTAAATTTTTCTCATCATCTTCTAAAAAGTTTAACCATTGAAATCTGTATCAGTTGTGAAATATTAGTTATTAATATCTCAGTTCATTTTTTGAAGGATTCTTTAAGACAACTAAAAGTTATAGCCGGCTTAGCCATTTTAATTCTTTTCTACCTGGTCCTTTAGTTCCCTCTAGTGTCCATTTGCAACCTTCATCAAGCCTCAGTTCCTAAT